CCAGCTACTCGGGAGGCGGAGGCAGGAGACTCGCTTGAGCCCAGGGGTTGGAGGTTGCTGTGAGCTGTGATACCACGGCACTCTACCCAGGGCTTGAAGCTCTGTCTCAAAAAAAAAAAAAAAAAAAAAGCGGGGGGGCATGGACTATATGCAATGCACATATTTTCAGCATTAGAGTGGCAAATAAGCATAATTTTCTCTGTCGGCCGGCTCTGCTCTGGGTACAAGCCCTGCCCATTCACCCTCTAGAAATCTTCCTGATGTCTGGTTTCGCTACTTTCATGGGTTTATATTCTAGGTCTCTCCCTCCCCCAAGACAGAGGAAGAACATTTAAAGAGGAAGTAATAAAGGGAGATTGAAAGGAGCATATTGTTACTTATATATTGTTTGGTCCGACTTAGGAGGTGAACTCAGTGGAAAAACTTGACCATGCCCTTCTGTGACCTTGGCAGACTGCCCACTAAGTCTCAGCATTCTCTACTTTCCTCAGAGTTGATTCCTAGGAATTTCATGCATATCCAGACCTTTGAAGGGCTGTTTTTTCATAGGTATAAAGAGAACCAGGGATTTTTATGCTAAGCCCTGCATTTATTTTAAATTTTGAGTCTTCAGGCACCATTTGCAGAGAAAAAAGAGCAAGAGACTCATGTGGTCCACTCAGAACAAGAAAAGGAACAAGACAAATAGTTAATAAATCAGGTTTATGCCTATTCTGACCAAAAAAATATTATTTGAGCATGGTGTTCCTTCTTTGATATGGAATGACACTGTTAATTTTTTCTTGTGTTGTGTCTAAGCGTAACATCATGCTCCTACAGAGGACAAGAGTGCTGTGCACGTGCCCTTTACATGCCAGATAGCCCACATTTAATTACACTCAGCTTTCAGTGGCTCACACCTTTAACCCCAGCACTCTGGGGAGCTGAGGCAGGTGGATTTCTTGAGCTCAGGAGTTCGAGACCAGCCTGAGCAAGAGTGAGACCCCCATCTCTACTAAAAACAGAAAAACTAGCCAGGCATGGTGGCAGGTGCCTGTAGTCCCAGCTACTTGGGAGGCCGAGGCAAGAGGATCACTTGAACCCAGGAGTTTCAGGTTGCTGTGAGCTGTGACACAATGGCCCTCTACCCAGGGCAACAGAGTGAGACTATCTCAAAAAATAAAATAATAATAATTATGCCCAGCTCATTCGTGAGAGGCAGTGCCAGAAACAGAGAATGGGAGATTCAGAAACCCCTGTGACAGGGAGGACAGGTGGCTAGAGTGTGGGGGCTTTGGGTGACAGAGGGCGGGGCTAAACCCAGTCAGAGAAAAGAGCTAATGGCATTTATCTTTTCATTTCGGTTTTTTTGTTTGGTTGGTTTTTTTGGCCTCTTCTCATGATCAGTATTGGAACTATTTGACACCCCCCCCAAAAGCAAAGATTTTTCCATTTTGAAAACTTTCCACCCCAGCATCCAAGAAAAATCAAACTCTACTGTCAGATTAATTTATCCTGAGTAAATATTTTGGTTCCTATTTATTACTTGTGCCCTCCTAATTGCTTCCTATTAGTTTAGGTTCAAATGAGGAAGATGCATGAAATACCATAAAGTAGAGGATATAAACCTCTCCTTTCAGGAAAGGGTACAACCACAGGCCGATGAGTAAAGGTTAGAGCAAACCACAGTGTTTAACTGTTGACCATAAGAAGCAAATAAAATCTCATTTTTACCCCAACATATGAAAAGATATAAATATAGAAATATACAAGGTTTTACTTGGCTGTTATTGATAGTCACTAATAACTTGAATGCCATTCTTAATTATTTGCTGATGTCACTTAACGGCATTTCTCTAGTGATGGACACTGTTAAAACAATGAGCAAACCTTCCTAGGAAAGGCCGTGATCATAGAGAAAGGAGTGGGTAACATCACACCCAACCAGCAGCACTGCTCAGTTCAAGAGGGTAGGTTGGAAGAGGAGAAGCAGAAAATCTGGACTTTTTCTTTAATTGCCTCTGAATTGTTTGAATCGTCACAGCAAACATGCATTTATTATGCGATTAAAACAAAATCCAATAAAGTATAAGTTATAAAAGAACATTTAAAAACCTATATTCTATAAGTGTCATCAATTATTATTTTCTACCCAGTAAAATGGCAGCAATCATACAATATGAAAATCATTAAATCATGCTCTATGAATGTTTAAACACAAAAATATTTGAGAAAAAAGACAGTGGTAAAACAAATAAGGACATGTTATCTGTGAGCTAACCCTAAACTTCCTCACGAAGGGGAAGTAGCCCCTTTTATTCAGATCTTGAGCACTGAAGTCCATTTCTCTGCAATGCCTTTTACCCTGAAGATGACTCAGAAGCACCTGCTGTCACTCTTCAAATCTACACCTCAGCACGGCATCCCAAGTTGTTCTGCCGATGGGGCCCTCACCACACATCATGACTGCAAAGCAGAACTAAAAGCTGCAGAGCTGTTGACACTCCTGTGATAAGCAGGGCTGTAAATGCCTGTTAACAGTCCCTCATGTTTGCTCTCCTATGATTTATGCCTGATTTATAATGACCAGCATGGGCAGACTTCACTTCAGCAAGAGCGCAGTCAAGTACTACTCCTGGGACACCTCTGCCCTCTTCTTCCCCAGAGAGTAGAGCAGATGCTGTTTCATTAAAAGCACTCCAAATTCATATTCAAAAGGCACAGATGAAAGAAGTCAGCAGTGGCAATTAATTTTATAGACTGGTGCTGCAAGGGCGTAAATCTTTCTCAGGCCATCTTTTTTTTTTTTTTTTTTTTGCAGTTTTTGGCCGGGGCTGGGTTTGAACTCGCCACCTCTGGCATATGGGGCCAGCGCCCTACTCCTTTGAGCCACAGGCGCTGACCCAAGCCATCATTTTTTAGCTCATTTTTCCCACTCAGCCCCTCCATGGCACTGAGTACAGGTATAAATGTTTACTGGCATCTTTCATGCTGCCCTGTACAAGCCTGGTGAATAGTACCACTGCCTTACAAAAGAGCCAGAACAGAATACAAAATTAAGTGTGGGACAGTGATAGATTATTGAAACTGTAACACATGACTGTCTAGAAGTCTAATTTTATAAAAGAGTCTGCCCCTTTGTTAACTTAAGATGTTCTTTCTGACTGATTTGTTATTTGATTAGTCTAACAATGTTCAGTAAATAATAAAGCAAGGAATAAACCCAAGGTATTATTATGATTTGAAGACCTTATCAATTCTAACATTTCTAACAAATAAGCTGATGCCAGAGAGAAGACAGGAGGCTGCAGGGGCCTGGGGAACAAAGCACAACTCCTCCCTAAAGGAGCCCTTCCTGCCCCAAATCAACATCAGACACGGCCGGAGTGAGAAGGGGCTTCCCTGGTTCTGGTGGACACGCTCTCCTGGAGACCTGACCCTGCAGCACATGCACACTCTTCACGACCCCCACATTTCCTCTGACCTCTGTCAGGGCAGTAATTCAAGGCCTGTCATGCTGCGATGGAACCTCTGAGTTTATTTCTGCCTCTTGCTGACCTTGTAATGGCTTCATTCATAACAACCCTGTGCTCTGTGGTGCCAATGGAAATAGCTCATGCAAGGTCCATCATCCTAAGCTAATAATGGGAACCAAACAGGGAGGAGTGCTCATGGAAACGTACAATTCTGTAGAATCCCAAAGCCACCTGGGCTGTAGCAAACCTCGTTCTCTTGGTTTCTCTCCCCTCCAAGACCTGCACACGGAGTTTCTGTCCTCAGGCGTTAATCTTCCCCTCTCATCTGTAGAGATCTCCTTACTGATACTCACATTTAAAGAAATAAATATGAACTACTGACACATTTGGAAACGCAGCTGGCCGAGCTCCTCTTCCCTACCTTAGTGACTACAAGTTGTATGTGGTTATTTTCACAGCCGTAACCAGTTACAGCTTTTAGCAAAGGCAGCTTTACATTGGCATTTACCTTATTTATTTTTAGGTATCTTTAGCATTTTTGAAAGACTTTCCCAGCAGCAAGGTCACCTCAGTCAAGGACAACTCACTGCACAGCTGAGTCCAGGCAGGAGATCTCTTCTAACCAGGAAGGAGGAAGCACAGACACGCAGAAGTACTCACAGTTTGGGTTTGGCAAGCAGAGGTGGTGGCTCCTTACTGGGCGAAGGCAGGACAGCAGGTGCTGGAAGTGCGCTGTCATCATTCACTTTGCCATTAATCAGTCCATTTACTCCATGGCGTGGATGGATCCCGTTGGTTTCTGTCTCTGCAGAACCGCATTTCATATGAAGGGCTGCTGTGCTCAGGCCTGCCTTGGGACTTCTCCCCTGCTGCACCTCAGAGGGTCTCTTTAAAACCAGGCTGGGGGAACTTGTCTCCAAGACTGGAGGGGGAGGTGGGAAGTGCTGGAAGTGATCATCACTGAACTCTCCTGCTGAGTTACAGCCATAGTTCTCAGTGTTGGCTAAGGAAGGGGGAAGAAAGGGAAAAACAGTAAGGAGCTACTAGTTCAACAAGCTATTTTCACACTGTCTGAGGTCTTCTGAGAATCTCTGGTGTCCTGCTAAGTTGCTAAAGATGCAGATATGGGGCTCTCGAGTGATTCTCTGATTCTCAGTGCTTGCTGGGAGTCAGCCACCTGCATCTCTGCCTGACTGAGCCCACAGGTGGAGAAACAGCTACCAAGTCATTATCAAAGTTCACATGAGAACTAAAGACAATTGGGTGAAAAGTGACAACAGAGCTGCAACAGCTGACAACGCTCTGTTCTCCCAAATCGGGTCCCTGGGCCTGACTGAGCACCCTGCCTGTCTCCGCAGACAGACCCAGCTATAGAGGCTTTGTGACATTCAGTCTATGAGGTGTCCCAGAAGTCACCCCTCGTGAAACTATAGCTAAATGTGCATTTACAGGATATTTACAGAATATTCTCTATGTGTTGATCATCTCTTTGCAAAATTTTGTAATGAACATTTTGTAAATAAAGGCACATTTAACCAGAGTTTCCCATTTTCCCTATATATGGCGACATCAGGGTTAACTTCTGGGACGCCCTGTATTTTATAGCTAAGAAAGGTAAAGCCCTGAGTCAAGAGTGTTTCATGGTCTAATAAAGGTTATTTCCATATAAGGTGATTGTCCCAACTGCACCTCAGTATACAGGAGAGGAACAGTTGCTCTCGACAGATGGAGACTGTGTCTTCTTTGGAGCCTTCACCTTGCCCAGAGCCCAGCAGAGCTGCCAGTACATACTCAAAAGTGCTCTGAGTATACAGAAAGCTCAAAAGTACTTGTCACTGTTGGCTACATCATGATCATGAACACATTCACCCCAGACGAAAATGAAAATATTACATAGCAGCATTTGCCACTCAGCCTACAGAGCCCTGGGCGCTGGCCGTGTACAGCCTCTGTACAGGCCAGAACTCGGGGTCCTCCTTGCTCTACGATCCCAATCATGACCCTGAGGTTCCTTTTAACACGTTACCACTCATTTGTATCAGCCATTTTCCCACTGAGACGACCCTTATGTTTCTTTTACTAATTAACATGAGCCAGCACGCACAGCTACAGCAGCCTAAACCTGGTGTGCCTGGGCCTCTGCTGCCACCTAGCACCAACTCCAGCTCTTCCAAAGGAATCTGAGTGAGAGCCACTCGTTCTCCTGGCTTGGTCCGGCTCAGTCCTCTCACCACCTGTGGGCTGACCCCTTGACTGTGTGAATTGCATGTGCCAGGCTTGGTCAGAGAGAGATTTTAACAATCTCTGTAAGATGAATAATAGAGATAAGGCAATTAAAGTAACCTGAAGTGCATTTGTAATCGTAGAAAATAGTCAACTAAAATTAAAAAAAAAAAAGGAAAAAACTATTTCACTACCTTCCTTAGTGAGATTTTAAATTTTGAAAATATCCATTTTTGAATTTGATTTCAAAAATACAAATATTGCTTATTTTTCGTATCAGTTTTATGATGTCACTGACATAGATTACCAATGAAATTTGATTTCCAAGATTTTTACATCTTCTCTGAGTTTGCCTTGCATTACCTTTTATATAAGTAGATTTATCTTGTATGACCTTTGTACATTTTTCAGTGGTGTGTTAGACAAGGACTTATTTGTACAAGTATCTTGGGATCACAGGCACTGGCACTGCTGAGAGCAGGGGCTGCATCTCTGCTTTCAAGGTGGCCTTCTGACAGGGACTGACTCTGGGTCAGCACAAGAGAGTTAGGAAACCAGCCCCATTGTTTCCAAGATTGCACAAGTTAAAACAACAGCCCCAGTGTATGCTCAGCTGCTGCATTACCACCCTCTTTTTGTTTTCTCATATCTCTACTTATCCTAACCTCCTCCCTCTGCTCCAAAGCCTGTTGTCTCACAATGAAAGGCATGAGGGCAGCTCCTGGGGCGGCAGGTGTTCCTGAAGGCTGGGTGCACTTCCTGGGACAGCGTCCCTCTGCTGTGGCCACCCCACACCCCTCACCTACCCGAGGTGACAACCAGCTGGGCAGTGCTTGTGGCCGACCCATACTCATTTCTGGCCAAGCATGTGAAGATCCCTGCATCTTCAGGGAATGTTTCTGCGATAACCAGGGTGCAGATTTCTTCTGGAAGAGGAAAGAGTAATTCATCAGAGGGAATTCACAAAGTACTTTCAGGAAGTCAGACCCTCTGCCTTTCTACAACAAACAAACTAGGTAATGCTGACTACAGAATTGTTTTACAGAATGTACACAATAGAATCTCTTTATGTTTAGTTCAGCAATTTAGTCTGGGAGACAAGGCTTTGGTGTCCGACCCATTCTTTGTGATTTTAAACAGCAGTAGTCTTGGTTTCCTCATTTGTACAGTGGGGATAGCATACGCCTAATGGGTCATCTGTGAAGATAACACAAGATATTTGCAAGTATGAAACTAACTGTGCTTTGCATGTAGAAGATTCTGAGGGAAATGTTAGCTTCATTCTTCTGTCACAGCTACCATTAAACAATTTACTATGTCATTATTAGTAGCTTATTTCTGGTTCTCTGACTTGAATATATCCTGTGAGAGCAGAAACAGGTATCTCATACATGAAAGGCACTCTAATTATTTTTGAATAAATACATGGATGAGGTTTAGATTGCAGAAAAAAGTAAACAAGCTTTCTAAAGGAATTCTCAGTAAGACTAGTCTTTCCACAAGCTTCATTAATGTGTTTTAAATGTAACTGAACAGAATTCATTGTATACGAACTTTCAAGATTACTTTTATGCATAAAATAAGGTGTATGCCTGCATATAGTTGATGACCAGCTGAACATATAGAATAGTTACACTTTTTAAGAAACAAAAGAAGAAAACACAAGCGTAGGAATGTTCTTTGAGTGATTTTCGTGAAGTGATATGTCACAATGATTTTTATAATTCTTTTTTTTTTTTTCTCTGCAGTTTTTGGCTAGGGTTGGGTTTGAACCTGCCACCTCCCGCATATGGGGCTGGCACCTTACTCCTTTGAGCCACAGGTGCCGCCTGTCACAAAGACTTTTACTAGATAAAATTTTAAGCCCATGTCCCAAAATTTGTCCAGCTTTTCTTCTCTTGGAAAATTTCATATAGCAGGATGAAAAACAGCAGTGACAATATGGCCACATTTTGTTGAGAGAGAGAAACATCACAGCTCATGTGGTTCTGACATTACAAAAGTGAAGAAAGCCATGAGGAATGAGACAAGCCAGGCTGTTAGTACTGAATTTCCATCTGGTAGCATCTTACTTGAACAAAGGCCTATAAGACATCTGTAAAATAAATTTTAGTAAAGAATGGAAATCAGGAAATGATTACTTATGTCAGATAAAGGCTCACCTATCTGTACTTAAAAAACTGTCTGCAGAAACATTTAAACTTATCAATAATTATGATCCATTTTAATCCAGTTTTCCTAGATTTACTTTCCTCAGGTTTTCTTTCTTTCTTTTTTTTTTTTAAGAGACAAGAGTCTCACTTTGTTGCCCTTGGTAGAGTGCGGTAGCATCACAGCTCACAGAAACCTCCAGCTCTTGGGCTTAGGCAATTCTCTTGCTTCAGCCTCCCAAGTAGCTGGGACTACAGGTGCCCGTCACAACACCCAGCTATTTTTTGTTGCAGTTTGGCTGGGGCTGGGTTTGAACCCTTCACCCTCAGTATATGGTGCCGGCACCCTACCCAGTGAGCCACAGGCACTACCCTTTCCTCAGGTTTTGACTTCAGGGCATAAAACAAACTACTAAATCAGAAACTACTAATCATAACTTCTATTGATTACAGTTACCTAAAAATTACTTAATCACAGTAACATCTCCCAGAAGGCTAAATGGCATTCTTCTTGGATACACTTAATAGTTGGTTAAACACAAATAAAACCCAGATTTTCTTGGTGAAAACTCATAAAATGAGGATAAGCAAGGATAAGATTACTAGGTCCGCTGGATAATCAGGGTTATTTTCATAAACCTTCCCAGGTTTTCCGCCCCTAGAAAGGAAGTCAGCTTCCACCTTGCAAATCACATGGTTTGCCTAACACAATTGATAAAAAAGAACTCTCAGCTAAAACCAACAAGATGAAATTCAGTGTAAATGCAATGCTTTCATTAGTATTTATAAAGGACTCTTAAAAGTTATGAACCATATCATACATAGAGAAGGATACTTTAAATGTGCAGGTCCAGGAATAACAATGAAAGAAATCCCTGTGTACCTACGATTAAGTATAAGGATAAAATATGACCAGTGCTTTAGAAATGCCTCGTCTGACCTCCTTCAGCTGAATCTTCCTTCTTCTAAGGAGATAGCAATTCTTTTGATTTTCTGTGGATATTTACTACATATGTCTGTATCCTTAAGAAATGCATTTTTAGTTTTAAAAAATTGGGTCTCACATACACATCTGGTTATGCAAAGAAAAGGCAACCTTGTCATGTTTAGAAAAAACTGTCAGGAATCACTGCATGCCATAAACCACTCCAATGTCTCTGGAAATTTATAAAAGCCCCACAGGTGCTCTGTGGGCAAGGCTGAGAGTAGGAATCTCAGGTTTGCCTCAGTGGGGACCTCAGTGTGGGCAGGACCTGGATGGCCAGCAGGCCAGCAGGGAAAGTTGATGAGGAGTCAGCTCCACGTGGTCAAGCTCCAGCCGGAGTTGGAATCTCGGTGCTCTGCCTGGACTCACATGCTCATGATGCAAGGCTGTGGCCAGTGGGACTCCCTTGCCTCCCATGGGCACTTGGTACCCTGAACCGCCTCATAGCTGCCCTTCCTGGGCAGATTCTCTCATGGTGAAGCACATCCCCCATCAAGGCTTGTGGGGAAAATTTGTAAGACCTTGCAAGTCTGAAAATATCTTTACTAGATCTTCATGTAAAACTGAACTGCTGGTGAAGTGTAGAATCGCCAAGTGGGAGGTAATTTTACGTCAGAACATTGAAGGTCTTATTTCACTGCCTGTGTCCAGTGCAGACTGCTGGGAAGGCCCCACTCTGACCTGCATGGTCTTGACACACCTGCGGCTCCCTCCTGGACACTTGGATCACCACCTCTTGTTCTGTGTATGCTGAATCTCTTGGTGATGTGTACTGCCCTGAGTGTGCGCCATGCACTGTTCCATAGAGAGGGCTTTCTCCATCTGGAAACTGATAGCAATTCAGGAACTTCTTTGAATTATTTTATTGATGACCTTATTGATGATCCCTCTGTCCCTTTTCTCACTGCTTTCCTCCTGGACCCCTATCAGGCACAGGGGGCCGACCGGGGCTGGTTCTCTCCTACGTCCCTTCTTTGCCTCTTTGCTGTACTCTGTGAAAAGTTTCCTCAGCTTGATTTCTGCAGCCAACCTTTTCATTCCAAGGACATTCTTTGTCCTCCCCTCCCATTTTTTAACACAGCTTTTCTTTTTACTTCTTGGATGCATAATTTTCTTGTCTGAAGAGAGATTTTGTTTTAATTTATCTTGTATTTTATTCTCTTCGTAAATTTGTTTTCTCTAAGTTGTTTTGGTAACACTGCCCTATTATTTTCACCTATGACATTCATGTTAGAGGCTTTCTCCAGATGTCTCTTATCTCTGCTTGTCTGATGTGACTCTGAACTGATGTGATGTTGACGCCTTCCCTGTGGCATATTCTTTGTAGGAGAAACTGCCCAATCATTATCTATCGATTATTTCTCTTGGGATGTTGAGTTTGGGATGACATCCAGGGCACCATGACACACAGTTTGGGGATCACAGGGTTTTATACAGCCAACTTTTGCCACAGCCCTTTTTTGTTTAATCTACCATCCTAATCTAAAACTTGCATTAAGTTTTTTTTTTTTTTTGAGACAGAGCCTCAAGCTGTCCCCCTGGGTAGAGTGCTGTGGCATCCTAGCTCATGCAACCTCCAACTCCTGGGCTCAAGCGAGTCTCCTGCCTCAGCCTCCCAAGTAGCTGGGACCATAGGCGCTCACCACAACGCCCAGCTATTTTTTGGTTGCAGCTGTCATTGTTGTTTGGTGGGCCCGGGCTGGATTCAAACCTGCCACCTTGGGTGTATGTGGCTGGCGCCTTAGCCACTTGAGCCACAGGCGCTGAGCCTTAAGTTTTTAACTGTGTACAATCTACTGGGATCTCAACAAACATCCCCAGCAAACAACCCAACACTCAGAACAATTAAATAAGTAAAAATTACTTCACATTTTGAATTACAGAATCAAAACAGAAACCACACTGTGTAAGCTCTAGGCGGGGGTCACAGTGGGCAGTAGAGTAACATTGAAAGCAAGCTGCATACCTTATCGGTGTAACCCTCCAACCAGTGAGGTATGTTTTGTATTTTTAATTTTGTATGCCATTAGACCAAGATATAGAAGTAACCCAATGCCGTCTGTGGCTGTTTCCAAACAGCTGAGCAAGAGCCGGGGCTTTAACAGCTGCCAAGGGAGTCTTCTGTTCCCCACCCTAGACTGTCTTTGAAGAATTCAATGAGTGTAAAGTCAGAAGGTCAAGAAGGCCAGACAGGTAATGTGGAGGAGGGATGCTGGTCTCAGGCAAGCTGACTAGCTATTAGTTCACAAGACAGTCTGAAGAGGTCCATGATGCAAGCTGCCTTCTGTCTAGACACAGGCGGGTGAAACACATCAGGCAGACAGCACAGTAGTGACAAGAAAAACCTGTTCAGTTGCACAAAGGCACTGGGAGGCAACCTGCTATTTCCTGCTTTATCCAAATATCTAGTCCCTAATGGGGCTATATCCAGGCACTAGTGATCTTTTTAGTTTTATTTCTAGTACTTTAAAACATCTTCCCCATGAATGAGGAAGAACAATAAAGGAGAAGAGAAAAAAGATTAAAAGAATGAGGGAGTGAAATAGAGAAAGAGGAAGAGAGAGAGGAGAGAGAGGGAAGAGAGGGAAGAGAGGGGAGAGAGAAGAGAAAGAGGGAGGAGAGGGGAGAGAGAGGAGAGAGAGGGAAGAGAGGGAAAAGAGGGGAGAGAGAGGGAAGAGAGAGGAGAGAAAGGGGAGAGAGAGAAGAGAGAGGGAAGAGAGGGGAGAGAGAGGAGCGAGAGGGAAGAGAGGGAAGAGGGGAGAGAGAGATGAGAGAGAGGAAGAGAGAGGAGAGAGAGAGGGAGGAGAGAGGGAGGAGAGAGGAGAGAGAGGGAGGAGAGGGGAGAGAGAGGAGAGAGAGGAGAGAGAGGAGA